AATCCCTTCCACAGGCTGGGGTTAGGCCACACTGGGCATTCCAGACCTGGCACAGCTCTGGAGGTGCTGGAACAGTGTGAGACACCCCGTGAGGCTCTGCCAGTGCAGGGCTGGGAGTGCTCTGTGTGAAACAGGAGCAGGATGCACAGACCTTCCACGCCTATTGGAAACAGATTTTTCCTTGACACACAAGCACAGAAGATTCCTCTGGAATGAGAGCCCTGACCAAGGCTGGGCGGCAGAGAAGGGTTTCCAGCTCCTTGCCGAGAGGAAGGAAATCCGCCCGTGGGACAGATGATATTGTCTTTTGTTTGACTCTGCAACACTGATTAATGAATGCTTTTTTGATTTCACAAGAATTTCTGGGGTTTGTAAACTTTCTTCAGAGATTTTTCTGGGAAAAATGGAAACCGTGCTCGGGGTTCTCCTTCTGCAAACAAACCACTCAACGTTTTCATTCAAATCAAAATTTTCCACGGATAGTAATGGGGATTTCTCAACCAGTATCATAAACATGGTAGGCAGTGCATTCTGATCTAAATAAAATTTGTGTTTCAGCAGCAAGAATTCGGGTCAGAGCCCTCTTCTGATGGACAATGTATAGCAAGACACAACCTTGCTCTGAGGACTTCAGAACAGAAAAGACAAAGGGCAAGAGGAAAAAGAAAAACACTAAAAATATGCTTTAACAGATGAGGCACTGAGGTGGCAAAAGATGAAGTGATTTGTTTGACGTCAGGATCATGGGAACATTAAACCAAAAAGAGGAACTAAATCCATCCCTCTTGGAAGGCTCAGCACATTATTTTAACCACAGACCATCCTTTCCCTCTGGCGTTACTGACTTTTGGCCCAATCTTTGCCCTTCACTTGGGGATGGCACTTGCTGCAGGGTTATTTGCTGAGGATCAGGCCCCTTATTGGAGTGGGTTTTGGCTGATTCATCCTGGCACATGGGCACAATGCATGATGCCTTCTTTTCCTATCAATCCCTCCTGGAGAGTCCCAGAGTCCTGATGAAATTTATCTCTGTGTCAGTGTAGGCAATGCTGGCAGAGATCTTAGGCTTGGCCACTGATACAGTAATAATAATAATATTAGTGATAAAAGAAACAATGCCAAAATCAGACCTGGATCTCAGGGGCTTTCCTCGGATGCCTGGAACCTGCACCCAGGACTGGACAGATCCTGCAATGGATCAGAGCATCTCTGGCAGTGCCACCTCTGCAGAGACACAAGGAGAACAAGGAGTTTATCGTCTGGTAGCTGAGGAAGTCATTTGGGCTTGGTTTCCTCCCACCTGGCATGCTGGTGGAACCCTGGCAGCACTCCTTTGACCATAATGGAAAGCATATCCAACACATGGCCAAAATCTGGAGATCCCCCCTCACTTTGCTTCCTGTGGCAGCACAAATCACAGGATGGCCAAGGGAGCTGACCCTGCTCTTTGTTCTCCTGCGTTTCTCGCAGCTGCTGGACAAGGTCAGGGGTCAAATTCACGGCCTGGTGATGGGGACAGGCCCCTTGCTGTGACCCCAGGAAGAAGGGACACTTCTGGGAGGGAGTGGCTTGGGAGGCAGGGTGGCAGTGGGGCACTTTGCCGAGCCCTGCTGGGCCTGGCGTGCGGAGCGGGCTGGGATTAGGGCTGGAACTCACAGCATTTGGGCCATTGTGCAATGCTGGGCAGCTGGAGGGTTTCACTTTTCAGAGGGGAAAAGAAAATGTGAAAAACTAGAACCAGAAAACTCTTTTCTTCCCTCCTTTATTTTTTTTTTTAATTTTTTTTTTTTTGGACCTATCCAGAGCTTTCCACAATGCTGGTGATTTAAACCAGGCCTGGAATATGAATGCAACTCTAATATTTCTACCTTCTTGAGTTACATTGATGAGTCAAGGAGCTGGCTGAGGCTGAAATGCAGCAATGTATATGTGCAGGCTATGGATGAAACCTCCTCTTGCATGGACACCTTGTCAGCCAGTGCTGGATCCAAGAGGTTAATAATGTTCTGTCCTCCATGGGAAAGAGAATATGAATTTAATTTAAAATCTAGACATGCCTTCAGCTCTGGAACAGAGAACACAAAGCTAATTTCACCAACAGGCAGAGGGAGATGGAAGCAGGGCACATCCTGAACTCATTCAGGATCCAGGATGAGTCTGACGTGGGAGCTGATTTCTTGGGACACTTGAGCCCATAGGTGTAAGGAAGCAGGGCCATTTTGGGGGAAGGAATGAGGGGCTGAGAAGAGGAGCAGGTGCCTGGGGTGCAGGTGAAGCACTCGAGTGCCAGCATCCCTCACTGTCTGGACTTGGAGGCAGCAGCAAGGAGAGCTGCAGGTGACTCTGCACAGGGACAAGGGGACAGAGGTGTCTCAGTGTCAAATAAAGCAAGGAGCAGAGGAGCCCCAAAGCCAAACCACTGCCTGGTGCTGGGAGCAGGAACTGGGCTTTGCTCTCTGCAGCCCAGCCAGAAACCCTTAAAATGGCCTCCTCTCCCTTTTCATCCCTCATCCACATCCTCAGCCTTCTCACAGCCTCCCCCTCCATCCCCCCATGCCAAATAAATCTCCTTAGAGTTTAAATAAATGCCTTAGTGTCCTAAAAGTCTTGCAGCCTTGGAGAGGGAAAAAAAAGAATTAAAAAAAAAAAAAAAGGAAAGCAAAGGTATTAAACCTGAAAGAGAAATAGTAGATGTGCATCTTCTTCCCTTTGGTCTCTCTGAAGGCTATTAAGTGATGCAGGGTGACTGTGGACAGGTACACGCAAATAAGAGGATCAAGGCAGCAGTACAAAGGTTTGTCTCCCAATCTTAATGCAGGTGTGGGAGACACAAACCAGGTGGCTAAAAGGCTCCTTTGTTTGAAGCTGTCAGGAGGAGAAGCTGATAATCTCATGCCTCATCCCTAAACTCTCTTTCAGCCGTGTCAAGGCATCTCCTCACATCAGGAAGTCTGCAATGACATGGCTATGTGCTAAGCTCAGTTAATGTGGTCTGAGGTTTAAACACTTCAGGTTAAAAGTGGATAATTGGTGGTAGTGGATTTTAAAAGCTCACACAGGTGCCTTTGAAAAGAGGTCAGGAGTCAAGTGCATCTCTCCTATGAGAAATGGTGAGCCTTTCCTAAGGAGATCAAAATTCTTCCACGGAGAGCCCCAGGGCCTTGTAGGAACTGTTATTAATTTAGTCCTGTATGTTCCAAATAATGGAAAAACGATACCACATGTGTACAACGCCGAGGAACGGGGGCACGTTCTCTCTGGATAGATAAACTTTCACCTGGCACTGCTGCATTGTTAATTAAGTAATCCCCTCTCAGCCCAAGCAGGAGCAGCACAGGAGCTGCCATCTCTGGGGGTTCTTTCAGCTTGGATAATACCCTTGGGAGCGAAGACAGAACCCATCAAGCACCTCCTCGGGGGGCTGTGATGTCTCCCACGCAGGTTTTCCAAGGAATTTGGGCACCCTGGATGAAGTTTTTCTCCCACGGGCTGCTGTAAAGCCAACCCCGCGGGTACCCAAGCAAAGCGCACCTTTAAAATCCAACTGCTCTCCCCCGCCGCGGTGCTATTTTCTCAAATTGTGCTTAATGAAAGCAAAGCTGGAGGAAATTAACATCCAATTATTTTCTTAGGGTGGATTTCTTTGTGCCGGCCGCGGGACGAGGACCTGCCCAAACACGCAGCACATGAAAGAGGATCGGGTTGCAAAGGCACCGAGCTCTCCCCTGCACCTGCCCGGACTTCAGCAGGGATGGGAGTGGAGGAAACACAGAGGATCAGAGCCAGGAGAAGATGATTTTCCCCCATCTTCACCGTGTGTTCGAGTTTGCGGTCTGAGAACCCAAGAAAACAGCATCGTTATCACTCAAATTCACATTAAATTGAGGTTTGGGCTCTGTTCGGGAGTGGTGGCTGTTACCAGCTCTTATTCCGCTGCCTCAGATGCCTCCAGTTTCACAGTGCCAGCAGCCCCTTTGACTCTGGCACCTTATTCTTTGCCATTTTTGGTGAGTGCAGCCCAAATACACCCAGAGATATCACATAAGAACAAGTTTATTCCAATTATGAGAGAACACAAGGATTTTGCTCCTTGAAAATATTCAGATGAATTTGTTGATATACTCTGGATGGGTCGATAGAGCATTTTTAGTGATAAGGCACCCCCTAGTCCTGCTGGCTGGATTCCTTGTGAGCAGGTGCTCAATTTGCCAATTGTTCAAGTAAAAAAGCTGTTTCTGTCCTCCTTACATTTTTTTTTTCTTCTTCTTCTTCTTGTAACTTGGGACAATTTGGGAAAGATTGCTGCTGGTGAAAACATGTTATGTATTTATTGTTATTATTATTATGTGCTATAAATTTATTTGTGTGACAGTAGCACAAATGTCATGGAGTCTGAACTGACACAAAGGAAAAATATGGTCCCTGTTCCAAAAGCTTTAAATTATCCCAACTCACCAAACGTTGAATGGTGGCTCAGAGTTCATCCTATTCATCTCAATTTAATATTTATATAATATCTATATATAATATAGATATTATATTTATATAAATTATTTTTATAATATATAAATATATAGTTATATTTAAATATTTATTATTTATATATAAATATATATTTATATAGAAACTGAACATTGTAAGGGGGAAAAAAGCCCAAATGAAGCCTTGATCTTTATAGCACAGTTCATGGGAATTATGGAAACTCTTCTTTTGGATTTATTTTTTTTTTTTACCTGAGAAGCAATTAAACCAATACTTTAATAGAATGGTTTGGGTTGGAAGAGACATTAAAGATCATCTTATTTCAATTCCCTGCCATGGGCAGAGACACCTTCTACTATCCCAGGTTGCTCCAAGCTCCATCCATTCTGGCCTGGAATATTCCAGAGGTGAAGCCAGAGCTTCTCAGGGCATCCCCACCCTCAGAGAGATGAATTCTTTCCCAATATCCCATCTATCCCTGCCCTCTGGCAGTGGGAATCCATTCCCCTCTTGTCCTGCTACTCCGAGCCCTTCTGTAAAGTCCCTCTTACAGATCTCTTCTAAAAAGTTTCACTTTCAACAAAATGATCTTTCCTGAAAGGAACAAATATCGCATTCAAAGACATCTCCCAAGCTCTGGCAGTAAGGAAGTTAAGAACAGCACACTTTCCCTTTTTTTTATTGATACTGTTTGTTGGTGAAATGGCTTAATGGCTGCAGGGTCAGTTGACAGATAGGAGGTAACATTGTTCTTCTCCTCCAGCGAATGTAGTGTTTGGCATGACTTCAAAATAACCCTATTGTTTGTCATCTTCTCAAAATACACTATAAAACCCCTGTTAAAAGGGAAGATAACGTTTTCTAAGCATAAGTCAAGTGCCGGGTTGCCTTTTTTTAAAGCTGCTTGATGAGAATTAATGGCGTTGGATCTCCTGTTTTAAACACATTTGGCCAGGTTTTCTGGAGGCACCTAATTTATCTTGAGGCTCTTTCATCTATTATCTAACTGTGAGCTTGTTCATAGCTCATCAGCCATCCTGGTTTTGACAGGGGGCCTTGTGATGAGCAGCCAACAGCGCGGAGTGTCGGGGCCGGGCGTATCTCTGGCAGGAAGGTGATGGGAAAAGCCTAACCTTCTGCCACTCCTCCCAGCACTCACCAAACCCAAAAATAGAGTCTTGGATCATCACACAAAGCCCCTCAGCGTGGTTCCTGCATCCCAGTGTTAAAGCAGATCGCTGCCGGATCAGGTCCATTTAATGGGCAAGTGGTACCTTCGGGCAGCTTGGGGTGGTGTTTGGGGAAATCCCCCCTGTTGAGGGGACACTCTGTGACAGAGAATTGCTTTGGCCAAGGCATAGTGTCCATGGGGCCATCAGGAAAGAGAAGAAAGCAGCAGAAATTTGGGAAAAAAAACAAACCCCAAAACCTTATCTAATAAGGGTGGGAAATAAAGAGCTTACGTAAAAGACCAATTTTTCTACAGTTCCCAAGCAGGAATATTCTGGTACATGATTCAGGACCATGGCAGATGTGTAGATTTTGGGTGTGAGCTCCCAAACCCATTCTGGAAGCAGCCAGAGGAGATTTGCAAAAACGAGGGCCTCGCCTTTCCTTTTTTGTGCTTTCAGCATCGATGTACACGAGCGCTCGGAGCGGCGGCTACGGAGCTGCTGGAAAGTTTGTCACCATAACACTGCCTGTTTATGCTTTGTGGGGATGAAAGAACAGCTTTCTTCAATTAGGCTTTGTACTTCAGCTGGCAGGCGGGTGCCGATTGTCTCAAACTCCACCTCTCGGCCTGGCCTGGCCCGCGGAGCCAGCGGAGGCCGCGCACGGCAGCGCCCGGCCCTGCCGTGGATCAGATCTGCTGGCAATGGGCAAAGTGGGAGAAATCCCACTGGGAACAGCAGCCACCTGCACTCAGGTGGATGGGCTACTCCGAGCTGCTGGGATTTTCAAATTGTAGGATCACAGAATGGGTTGGAAGGGACCTTTAAAGGCCTTCTCATCCACAGTGAGCAGTGAGCTTCCACTAGGCCAAGTTCCTCAGGGCCCCATCCAGCCTGACATTAAATGTTTAGTTTCCAACAATGGGGCATCCCCCACCTCTCTGTGCCAGGGCCTCACTACCCTCATTGCAAAAATTTTCCTCCTTATACCTGACTCTCCCCTTTTTCAGTTTAAAACCATTCCCCCTCATGCTATCCCTTCTCGATGCTTTTCCTCTTCAGTCCCTGCTCCGTGCACCTGTGAGGAGCTGGCACTGCACAGAGAACCCAGCTGGTTCCTAACAAAGAGTTCAATCTCATTTTAAAGCCCGTGGTGCTGCAGGGCCAGCAGACTCTTTCCATGGACTCGGGCAAGTTTTGAATAGGTTGCCTGGATACCTGGCTATGGAACACAGCATGTGTGAGCAGCCGATGGATATCTCTTTAATAAGAAACAGGGCATGGGGAGGGAGCTGCCTATGTACCAGTGTGGATTTATAAGGCACTGACTGCTCTGTGTCAGGAGGATTTGCAGATTGGGGGAATTTGGAGGGGGTTTATGGCTTGCCGGAAGCTGATAGCAAAGCTGTGGCAAAAAGTCAAAATGCACCGCCCATGGCAGCTCTTCACGGGGAAAACTGACTTATAAAACAGGTTAGAGAGTGCTGTGACTGCCTCAAAACTCCTGAAGGATGAAATGTGTTTCCTGAATTAATACATGATAGAGAAAAAAATATGAGGAGACTGAGATGAACGAATGATGATTTATAACAATTAAAATCAAACATACATCTTGACACTCAAGCAAGTGCACGTAGGATGCCAACAGCTCTCTGCTATTTGTCATCTCTGTTATTTGTCATCTGTCTTTTTGTGCTTGCATCTCTTACCATGATCACCCTGCAAAAGGAGGGATCACAGAGAATGCCCAGCTGCCCTACCCCCTGTCAGGGCCAGCCCTGCAGAGACACGGTGTAAACCTGGGCTGTCCCACACCTCAACTTCCTCTGCTGAAGCCAGAACTGATCGTGGTGGCTTTTTGCATGTGCCAAACAGAGGTTCACCGATGGAGAAAGATGAATATGGTTTTTTTGCATGTGTTCTATGCTGACACTCTTAGCAGGATTCTACCGAGGTCTGGGGTAGGTGAGTACTGAGCAGTGTTGGGGCATGAGGAGGCAGAAAAATCAGCACTTAGGAGAGGAGAAGCTCTGCTTCTTCAAGGCACTTGGAGGTTAATTGTAAATCCTTTCCTTGAGAATCAACACAAGCACCAATGCTGGGAGACCCTGCTCGGCCTGGGGAGAATGAACTGCTCCTCATGCTCTGAACTCAGACTCTGACTATTTATTTGTTCCCTTTTGGGCTCAAGATATTTCTCAGCAATAATCAAGGGAGAAACAATGGCCCATTCATGGGGGCACTGAGCTCTCCCTTGTCCCAGGTCCGAGTGGGCACTGCCACCAAGAACAGCACTGACCTGGGCTTGGCAGGCCCAGGTGCAACATCCTCCTCTCCTGGGGATTTCCAGCCTAACCCTGAGCCAGGTAATTGGGCAGCTAAATCCCTTTAAAAGTCTGGGCCCTTTCCTCAACTCCTTCACTGTAATTCCTCTTCTCACAGGTGGGTTGTGAGATTAAACACATGAAAGACTCAGAGGCACCAAATGCCGGGGTGATGAGACCCATCTGACAGAGAGATCAGCTAAACCAGGGCAGCCGAGCTGGAAAATGCTTTAGATTTTTCTCCCCGACAGCAGGATGGCCTTGTGGATAATTGATTTCCCCCTCAGAAGGCTTGAAGTATATTTTTAGGGAATGCAAACATTTTTATTTTCACTGCCTATTTTTCTTTCCTCCTCAATAAATGGCTTTTCCTGCACACGGGCTGGCCAGCTGCTCTGAAAATTCAAGGAAAAAAACCAAAACAAAACAAAACAACTCATTAACTTTCCCAAAGCCTTAATTGTCCCATTTATTTCAGGGCAGTAGGAAAGCCCATCTTTCAGTGGCTCCCTCGCCCTGCTAACAACTCACCGTAATCCTTTCCATAATCCCCAGGAATGCCGATCGCTCCGGCAGAGTTTGATTCTCCTTGCTGATGAATTGCAGGGTATTTTATATCCTCTTGTCACAACCCCCTTCTCCTGCTTTTGCTCTTTCAGCAAGGAAAGTCACTTTTATGTTACCCATCTGGGCTTCTCCCACCATCGGCAGCTTTTATTTTTTTTATTTTTTTTTTTTTCCTCTTAGGTACACAAAAGCAAATGTTCTGGGAGCTCTTTAAAATACCTGAGCAACTGGTAGTAAATGAGTAATTTCCTGTTGTTCTAACCTCTTTTTTTTTCAGCCCAGTAGTTATCTTAGCTTGGCATGTCAAGATTGTTGCATGATCTTCAGTGTTTGTGTGGATAAACATTATCTCAGCTCATTCCTAAGCTGATCAAACTGATTTTATAAACAGCTTTTTGCAGTGGAAAAAGTACCAGTTTTTGGTTGTTTTAATTTTTTTTTCCCTTTCTTCTTTTTTTTCCTTCATTTATTCCAGGAGTTTGGTGGATGCTGGCATGCAGGAAAACTACTGTATGTGTGTTTGCATTGCAGAAAGTGCAAATCTGTCCATTTGAATCTTTTTTGAGTGAGCACACTGGGCAAACTAGGTGGTTTTGGAATGACCTCATCCCAGGATCCCAGCAGAAAACAGCCCGTGTACATAGCAGAGTCTGGAATGTGAGCAGGACCTCATTCATAAACTTCCTTACCGTTCCTTTACACTCAAAGACAGGAATAAAAAGCAGCCAAAACAAGCAGAAATGGTGTTCCAGACTTAACCAAATGGGAAAATATATAGATGCACTTTTAAATTTTATTGTTTTATTGAATTGAGATGCTTTTCACCAGCTGCAGGAGGCTTGCCATGGTGATACATTCATTCTTTCTCTTGGATCAGACTGGAAGCTTTATTAAGATTTTTTCTTTTCTTTGATCTAAACCTATTTTTTGGTGACAACACCTCTGTTTTCTACCACCTGCCCTGTTTCTGTGAAAATACAGAGCTTGAAAAATGTGTTAGAAGAGGTGTTATGAAAAGACTGGAACTCAGAGGCCTAAACTCAGTTACAGAAGGTTTTTAATTAAAGCTGTTAAATAATAAGGGGAGAAAACCAATTATTTTTCATACTTTTTATGAACAAAAGCACCTTAGGTCTCCATCCTCGTAAGCAGGGAGGCAGTGAGCAGCAGGTAGGAGCACATGAGGTCATCCTGCTGTACTGGAGCGAGGATGAAATAAATTCAGGCTGTAAAACGTGGCTGGGAGGCTCCTGCTCTCTCCACTTGGCTCCCTGGTGGCATTGGCCAGAGGTCACCAAACAAGGCACAGGCAAATCTGGGCTCCTCAGGCTGAAATACAGCACTTTTTAGGCATATTTGGAGCTTCAGCCAGATGTGAGCTCCACCATGCTAAGCAACATTTTCACTGCTTTTAAGTCCTTTTTGTCAGCTTGGCAGCAAAAATTGGGCTGGATGATTATTGCAGCCACTGGAAGAATTTTTCTGTGGTCTAATATAAGTGCAACCAAGGAACTCTGGCATGTGCCTCCAGCAACTTGGATTTCCAAGTGGTCTTACTTTTCAGTGCTGGACACTCCCAGGAGGAACTGAGTTTCCAAGAGAAGATGACAGTGGGTGTATTCAGTCCAACACAGCTGTAGGTACGGTACAAACATGCAATTAGAGACAGTTCCTGCCCTGGAGAGCTTGGAGTCTAAATAGACAAACAGATCATCTCCAGATGGTAGGGGCTGAAGGGTGAGTTGGTGGGAGAGCGAGTGAGTGCGTGGCACTTCTGCTGCTGGATGCACACAGATGGTCAAAAGGCAGCGGAGAGAGAAGAGCCTCAGGCCTTGCACAGGCAGCTCGGATTTCCTGCAAAAAGCCTGCAGGGGTGGGGCTGATACGTGGCCATGGCTGTAGGGCTGGATACTGCAAGGGATGGGAAGAGCAGGGAGAAGGGAAGAAAGAAGGAAGTCCATTTATAGCAGCTTCCTCGGAAATGCAGGGGGGCTGCCAATGCGTGTCGATGCCTGCTGGTGAAGAATGGATGTGATTTAACTTTATTAGGCACTGGGGAGTTTGCTGTGGAAAGGAGGATTGATGGAGAGGGCACGAATTTTGGCCAATCTGTAAATGAAGAGCACAATGGTGAAGAGCTTTTCCACCTCTCGCCATTGCCAGCCGGGAGAGGGGGACTCCTGTCCCAAGACCAGGTTACAGATGGGGTGCTGGAGGATCACAGGAGCAGAAACCCTCCAAAGAGAACTACAAGCAGCCATGGCTGGCTCAGAAAATCCCTGATCTGCAAATATTTGGGAGCTGAATAGGTTCAGCTAGGTCTAGAGAGAGGTGTTCCCTGCCCATGGCAGGGAGGGATGATCTTTATGTTCCCTTCCAACCCTTAATGTTCTGTGGTTCTTCGGGGAGTTTGTACAAATCTCATACTCTTCCCCAGGCCTGTAGAGCCTTCTTTGGTCACTTTCAGATATATTTCAGGATATTTGATGGCATGACCCAAAGGATTGCTCCTGAAGTTCTGATCCCCGTCATTTCCCTGCCTTGGTCACGTCAGCCTCCCTTTGGAGGGAATGCAGCCCAAGCACAGAAACCACCAGGAAAACATCTGAGGATTTATTTCATACCACAAGCACTGTAGGTGGCTGTAAGGTTTGGGAGGATGTAGATGAGAAGGATTTGTGGGGAAGTATTGAACGGTGGCCAGAACAATAAAGAATAAGAGGAGAGAGGCACCTCTCCAAGTAGGGCTTCACCAGAGTGGGACAGGGAGCAAAAGCATCCACCAGCCATCAAATGCCACATGGCTCTGTGCTAATTCCAGGAGTTCACCACCAAACATGGGAAAACTCTCATATTTAACTTGGCAAGAGGTGAGCTGATTTAACTGGTATAGCAGAGATGTAGTTGTGCAGAATAAATCAATGGGCCACAAATTACACAGGAAATTTGGGTCTGGCGTTCAGGGTCGAGGAAGGTGGGAAGATGAAGGAATTAAAACCTGATACCTTTTTAAATATTGCTTCAGGGTAGAGATGACCTTGCTGTAATTCTTTCAAATTCCCTATAAAAAAGGCAGGAATGCATGGCAAGCCACCCTTTTCCAACAGATATCTGGTGACACAGAGAGCAAAATCGGTGCAGGCAGGAAGAAAGACAGGGCAGTAATCACAGTCCTTTGGATTAAAAGGAAATTACACTGAGGCAGGATGATTTGGATATGATGAACTTATCTAGGCAATGACCTGTCCTTCATATGGGCTAAATTTCTAGGGGAAATATTAATTGGATGAGGGTTCTTACAAGCTGTAAATGGAGAGAAACCCATCAATGGTTTCATCTGACAAAGTGACTTTCTCAATTTGTGCCATGTCAAGGTTCTATATGCGCTTGGTTGCCACCAGGAAAGCTTTGGCCTTCTAAAATGAGAAGATTTACTTGTTTCACCCTCACTGTCTTCAGATTTTTGTAAACTGAACTTTTTTAATTATTTAAATTTGAACAATAAAATAAACTTGAACAATAAAATAATTGAACTTTTAAATTTTTTTCTAAAAAGAAATAATCATGATCAATTAAGTACCACTGTGCACAGCAGAGATTGTAAAGCCAGCAAGGATGGAATGAATGTGTAAAGGATCTTCTTTGAAAAGACATTCAGTGTCTAACAAAAACTCTGCATAGATGAAAATATGTCATTTTAAGCAATGGAAAAAATACACACCTGGTTTCTGGTCAGAAATTTGTTTAGTTGCATTTTCCAGCAAATGAATCTTCTTTTTTGTTTGTGTTTGCTTGTTTTTCTTCTAATGCATTTAGCTTGCCATCTAGCCCATAACCCTACTCCATCTAGCCTAGACTGAATTTCCAACTGCATTGTGATTTGATTAAGTTGAGCTAATTCTCATCAGATGATTTGAAAACAACCCCATCCAGCTTCTTCAGATACCTTGGCAAGCTGATCTCTACCTACTTGCAACTGCCTGGGATCACTTCTGATAATTCAGATCATCTGTGATGCCTTTAGGGACTGATCCAAATTCTGCTAAAGAAGCACAGAGGTTTGCCCTGGTCTAATAGGCTTTGGACCAGCCTCCAGCCTCTCTAAAACAGCAGGTCATATATCTGACTGAAGGTAAAATGTTTGGCTAAGTGCCTACAAAATGCATTGTAATACAAGCTGGGGATAATCAGAAGACAAATTTTGTGTATGTGCAAAGTATTAGTGCCCTTAATGATAAAATGCTCGTGCTTGACATAATTTTTGGAAGAGGTTTGGAAACGGCAGGCTCAAGCTGCTTTCCACATGGGAATACCTTGCAGGCAGTAAAGAGCAGATGGAAAAGATCAGCATGAAGGGAATGAAGTGCTCCTCATGCTGCAAACCCCAGGATCCGTGGATGTGAGCTACTGACACTTTGTTATGAACTGTTTGCCCTAAACAGCCATCCTCCCAAGCCTGGAAATGTTTTCCTGACAGGGACAGGCCATGCTCACTGTCAGCTGAACCTGGTTAGGGAATGTCTCTGGGCAACCTGCTGGTTCTCCCTCAGGGGATTCCTCATTCCTTTTGCTCCCTGAAAATCAGAGAGCTGTGTGGTCCCTTCTCCTGCAGCAGGACACAGCTGATGTCTCAGGGACATCATTCTCTCACCCCCTCTGGCAAGATCATGGGCAGGCACCCGAGCACACATGGAAAGAAATGATTTTTGTGTCTCCACAGTCTGCCCAGTTCTGTCACACCTTGGAAACTCACACCTGCTGATGCTGCAGTGCAGTCTGCACCTTCCTGAGCTGCAGGACTGGAGCCACCAAGTAAATCAATCCAGGGAGCTTTAGGACAGAAGGAAATCGTGGTGGAATTAAGAAAAGGTCCATCCACACCGAGGCACTCGGTTCACAGTTTTGGCAGAGCCCTTGGTATCAGCAGCAATGCCTAATCCCTAAACAGATGGGCTGAAAAATCGCTTTGTGATATGGATGGGCTGTGAGGAGAAGCATATTCCTAAAGCAAGGCCCTAGATGATCATTCAGAGTTTTTCCAGAGGGCTTCCTTGTCTGGGGCCCAGCTGAGCCAGCAGACAGGTCAGTCTCCCTGCTCCTGAAGTGCACATCCCTGAAAAGCTGTCACAAAATGCTCCAGCCCTCTCCTGCACCAGGAGAAGGTGGCAGACAGCTGGTGACTGCCTTACCTGTGGTGTCATCCCACAGAGATGGGATGTTTTGGCAGTGACTGTGCTTCTAAACCAGGGTTTTGCCCATTATTTGTTGTGCAGAGGTTTGGTTTCCTTTTTTTCATGCACCTGTTAAACATGTTTAACATGTTAGACATGTTAAAGTGGCTCAATGCACCAGTTTATACTTGGTGGCACTGCAGGTTTCTGTCCTGTCCGATTTTATGGCACATTCCAGCAGCCCCTTGAATTTTTCTAATTCAAGAATTAAAAAATCATTATCAATAGGAGCTTTTGCTGCTGTTATTACTTTTGATAGCAATGCCAATTTGAAAATCTCTAGTCTAGTTGAGTATCTCTAAGTATCCAAAGTCATGTTTGTTAAATTTCCTTCTTGTTTCCTTCTTGAGCTTCTTGTTTTCTTCTTTTATTTACTGTGTTCCCAGCTATAATCCAGCTCTTCACTGTGCAAAGTGCAGCAAAAAAAAAAAACAAACTCAAAAACTTAGAGAAGCCAAAAAAGTCTATCTGTGCTCTATGAAGGAAAGACAAGGTTCTGAAGGATGTGGTGCCTCACCTTGAGTTGCTCCAGGACTTGAGAGCAAAATGTCTCCGAACTTCTGCATCCTTCATCTACAAAGTCCTTTCCCTTGGACCAGTCCTGGAGTGATCTCATCCCCAAGGAATGCAACATCCCTCTTGGAGGCACGGTATGGATAAGTGGCTGGGAACAGATGCTTGGTAAAAGAAGGAGAGCAGGGAGTTCTCAGCAAAGCTGGAACAGATGTTGTTCCACAGTGACATTGTTCTCCCCTGGAGTTTATTTACTGATGTCTCCAAAAAAAAAAAAATAAAAATTCTGACTTTTGTACAGATTTTTTATGTTTTCCTGCAGCTTCTTATCCAACTTTGCAACTCTTCCTGGTCACCCAGGCATCTCCACACACTCCTGCAGGAGCAGCCACACCAGACTGTGCATTTCACCTGCAGTGTCACATCTCTTGCTGGAATTTACCTTCGTGGAGGTCCCATGGAAAATAGGACAAAACTCTTGAGGAATAACTGCTCTGTCTGGTGGGGTTTTGCCATTCCATATCCCATTTAATGTTGTTCAGGCACCTGAATGTCCAAATGCTCCTTGTGCTCTGTCCTAAGCTCTGGTCACCTCCCTGGAGAGCCTATTCCAGTGCCCAACCACTGTCAGGGGAAAGAGCCTTTCCCAAATATTTCATCCTTTCCTAATATCAAAGCTAATCTCGACCTCCAACACAACTGTAGACACCTCAGTTAAAATCATTTGGGGTAGTTTTGGGCTAAAATGCCTTTTTTTCTTTTATTTTTTTTTTTTTGTGCAAGGAATCAGGACGCTGAGGTTTTGTAAGTTTTCATCATGATCAGATTCCTTCATAACTCTGCCCATCCAGGGAAGGTGAGCTTCACATGCCAGCAAAGAGAAACATCCTGCTGGCAAAAGTCTGGCAAATTAATTGATTGTTGGTACATCCCAGCCCTCCCATGTGTGTGGATGGAGACCTGAAAGAGAGAAAACAGGCAACACCCAATCACCTCCTCTGCAAGGACACCCAGAGCAGGTGCTGTTGGCTTCAGAAGGGACTACAAAAGATTTATGAGGTAGATCAGCAAAGCCTGAGCTCAGGGTGACCTTATCAATAATCAAACTCACTGCCTGCAGGCTCTGATCCCCACCTCACCTTCTGCTGTGGTGTTCCACAGGCAAAGCCTGGGAAAGCCCAGTGCTGGAGAGGACACACAGGAATGCTCAAACCTTCAAGGGTGTGGAGGGATAAAATGAGGGGTAATTGTCACCCTGAGAATCAGGCCTTTCAATATTGTTTCATAATTTCTAGCCATTTTCCCAAGAAAGTAACTATAAACTTAAATGTCTATACATTCCATTAAAGATATGCCTTTTAATGGACATGTCTCACTACCAGTGTGGTTGGGAAGGTGATAACCTGACTATCCAATCCCTGGTCGTTGTCAAAAACCTCAAAGTACTGAAACAACAAATAAATGATTATTATTCTCACACCTCAAGCTGCGTCCATGTGAATCATTTCATGTCCAACAGTGACAGGGTAATGGCTTCAAACTGCCAGAGGACAGGGTTAGATGGGATATTGGGAAGGAATTCCTGGCTATGAAGGTGGGGATGCCCTGCCCAGAGCAGCTGTGGCTGCCTCTGGATCCCTGCAAGTGTCCAAGGCCAGGTTGGACAGGGCTTGGAACAACCTGGGCTAGTGGAAAGTGTCCCTGCATGGCAGGGGGTGGAATGAGATGCGCTTTAAGATCCCTCCCAACACAAACCATTCTATGCATCTTCCATCAGTGGCTCACATTGCAGCTCTCCTTGTTGGCTGAAGATCTTCTGGAGATCCCACCTGTACCCTCAGCTGGCTGGCAGCTTTCTCTTCCTGGCATCAGGCAAGTGATTTGAATTTTTCCTGATTTCTGATTTCTAGAATCCTACCATTTTAAGGAGTTGATTTCCAACAGTTAAGGTGTGTGAGGTACTCCTGCTAGGGCTGTGGCTCATGAAAACATTTTGACTCACGGGAAAAGAAACATCCTCAGCTTTTGAAGTGTGAGTACACACAGCAAAGCAAAGGGATCAGCAAAACCCACATGACAAACAACCAATAAATACTGCAGAGCAGCAGGTACTTGTGCAGGAGCAGAAACCAACCCAGAGGCAAGCAGACAGCTCAAATTCACGAGCTGAGATAAAGCCAACGCAGAGCTTGACCTGCCTTGATCACAACCCAAGGAAGACTTTTATCAGATGTGTTTAAACAAATCCCTTTGGTGATTCCTGACTTGAGTCAAGGGAAAAATATATTTTGTCCCTGAAAGAAAACACTTACAGTTCCTTCTAAATTCACCAGTAAATCAAGACAAGCCGGAGATCTCAACTTGGCTGCCGCTGGTCTTCGTTCTCTTTGCTCAGCTGAAGGGAGGTCTCAGCTTTTGGGGGGGCTGTGCTTGTGCAAAGCAGCAGGACCAGCTCTGCACAAGGCCCATGTAGAGCAGGGGCATTTTGAGGAGCAGACTGGCACTGCCCAAGGTCCCAGCGTGGGTGGCATGGCCAGGAGCCTCTCTCCCCACGCTGCCTTTGGTCCCACTGGCTCCAGCAGGGCAGCACCAGCACCCACCAGCTAGGGACAAACCTTGATCTGCAGCAGATTTCAAAGTATTTTAATATAAAATCAGTCCCTGGATAGACTGTGACACTCAGAAACTGGTA